CCCCCCCCTCCCGCTGGGCAACCCCCCAGGCTTTGACTTTTTTGGAAAAAATTGGTCAAATTCCCCACCATGTGGCCCAACAAAATCATCAAATGCCCCACCGTTCAGGCTCCACTAAGTGGTCAAATGCCCACCCCTCCAGTCCAATGAATCTCTAATTTTACCTAAAATGTACAAAACTGAGCCTGTATACATCCACCAAGTTTCATGCTAAGTACCTTTTTTATCATTTATAGCTTTAATTTTATAAGAATCGAGACTTGAAATCTTTGCCGACTTTGGAATTAGCGTAAACACATTTATTGTTTTGGACTCCAAAAACTTATCTTCATCTACTCGTTCTGTACTGTCATCCACATTGAAAAGTTTTGCTTCTTTTTCTTCTTAATTCCAAGCTTTTCTCTCGATGTTTCTCAAAGAAGCGACAAGTATAAGATTGTATTTTGAAACCAAATATTTGTACAGTGGCGATTCGATTTCAATGAGATCGTAATCAATTTGAAGTTCAACCTTTCTTTTGAAAAGAGTGCGCAAAGGAATCCACCAAAAAAGCTTTTCTAACTTCTCTTGTGCCATCCCAGATTTTAAATAAAGGTATTTTTTTGTAAATTCACAGATGAACCAGAGTCCTCTAAGCACGATCCAAGCGTATAATTTTGCAATACGCTAATTTATTCAAATTAGATTAGGGCCGCTATATTTAGTCAAAAGTCAAATGCCGTTTGGACATATATTCAGTGTCAAATTCCCCACTCTATGGAACTTGGCTATGGTCAAATGCCTGGGTTATGCCCGGGGGGGGAGGTGGGAACCTTTGGAATTGGCTCATACATAACCCCTTGCATCTCATTATCTTTGACTTTAATCTATCAAAGCACCATCAAAGCATGACTCAACATCTGAAAATATCCCTTGATTACAAAACAAAGACTTTCAGATTTAAATCTAGGTTAATTTTCCTCAAGTCTGCATATTGTAATAACATATCAAGGAAATTCCTAATCCTTTCCTCTAAGTGTTTTGGTTAGTCTTCCTGCTAACTATTCTCTTCTCATTAAGCAAGTCCTGCATCAATGGTTTCAACTATCAATCATAGACAGGATGTTTCTTGCTGATGCTGTATTGTATAGAAATAACTTTAGAAATTGTTCAATTATTTATTGTATTTAATTTGAAAGCTATGCAGCAAGAAAGTTGAATAGATAGTTCATTTATTTTTAATTTTGTCTATCATATTTTTCAGGGAAGTATAGCTTCTTTTGTAGATGCAATTTTGGAAGGAGCAGATGAGGTAAATGATTTTCCAGAGCAGCAGACATTACCAGGGCTGTGTAGAACTTCTATACTTATCACTGAGAATGAAATGAAAGTTTTGGTAAGTAAATCAATGTAAAAACTCTCAGATCAAATCAGTGCCATAACAAGACTAGCAAATTTTGTAAGATGGTTTTCTTAGAGTAAGCATTATAATGGTAGTGTTGATTTGTCCTGTTTGTAGATTGCATTCATGAGAATGGTTTGCTCATGGGAAAGTGACACAGGCTTCCCACATCATAAAGAACTACAAGAACTACTAGAATTGCTTCCTTTTGATGCAGAAACACCACCATTGAAACAACAACTATCAGCAACAATTGCCACACAGTCGTCTCCTTCTGCAAGTCCTAAAATTCCTCATAAAGGTCGTACCAGGTTTCCATGGAAAAAACATCACAGACCCATACCTGAAATGCCTTCCTTTGATGATGATGAAGACAGCCCAAAGAAAGCAGCAACAACATTACTTACATCTGCTATGCCTGAAGTGACCAAGGCACAGAAATACCAGCAAGAATGTAATAAAAGATTGGGGGATCTGTACCAAGAGAACGAAGATGTTCTTGTTGTTTGTCTGGGTTATTCATCTATTGAGTCTCCAGGAATGCTCTCAGAGGAAAAGGTTTGTTTATGTATTCCATTCTTTACCAGTGTTTGCTTCACACGATTAACTATTTACTTTCTACATATTTTTCTCAGGTTCTGGGTATAGAGAAACCAAAAATAAAGGAAAACAAGAAGTCACAGCCTAGTGGCTCCCAACCATTCAGGTCAAGGTCCAGCTCTAACAAGTTCACAAAACTGTTTCATGAAATGTCAATTGAAAAAGACTTGAACGAGAAAGGTTCAACAAGTGCTGACAATGAGATTGAATCAAGTGGTGATTATCACTTAGAGACAAGTAAGACTTACAGTAGTTGTTGGTTCTAGATTTCTAGATGCAGGTGTAGGTGTGGAAAGAGAGATACTAGTCAAGAGAGCTTGGCTTTGTGGATTACTGTCTATTGTTAAATATCTTACACAGGCAACCCAGTCAGGCTAATGTCAACCCACCATAAGCCCATCTTGTTTGTTGTTCTAGTTTTGCTGTAGTATTGGCATAGGTTGTAGCATCCATTGATGGCAAACAATAATTACTCACAAGCACAGACTTGGCATTAATTTTATTCCTGTTATTAATAGTTGTAGGTTCTCCTTCAGTAAGTAAAGTAGATGAAACAGAAGAAAACATTCTTATGATGAGAACACATGAACCACAGAAAGTAGATCTTGTGCAGGACACAATGCATTTTCCAACCAATCCATTTCATGGCAGAGACAATGGTCCTGATGTAGTAGAAAGTGGTTCACAGAATTCTGCTGGTGTAAAACAGGCTGAGGTGGATCTACTCATAGACTTTTCATCTGATCCAGGTATCAAACAAGAATCATGAATCTTTTAATCCCTCATACTGTACCTTGATCCATGATTTTATTGCATCCAGGCCCCTGACTGTTTTTCTTTCTCTTCATATCATATTTTAGCTCGTTTTTCACCTGAGACAAGCCCTGATACTAACGTACACACTGGAAGTATCATAGATGCACCATTATCCCCAGATATACCAGAACCAGAACTCACTCGATCCTCTTTTACTATATCATCACGTAGCAGCACCATCAGCAGTGGCAGCAGTGCACGTGACAGTACCTTTAGTAACTTTTCCAGTCTTAGTAGTGGCACAAGAGATAGTACAGTAGATAGTGGATTTATGGATATACCCGAGGAAAATGACAACAAAGACAATCGAAATAGCTTTGGGAATAACCTGTTTAATCAGAACATTATGGGGGATACAAGTACAGATGACCGCAGGAGTGTGATTAGTACCTTGAGTAGAGACAGCTATAGCAGTGGGACAGTGGTGGAAGCTGGAGAAGAAGCATACAGATCTAATAGGGATAGTCAAGTAAGTACATTGAGTGAAGATTACCTTGGGGAAGTTCAGAGAAGTGGGTCTTCTAGCACTCCAGAAGATGAATTGGATTTGAAGGAAACCAAGAAGCATAGTAAGGCAAAGGCACTTAAGAAGAAAATGGGTAAGAGAGCACAGACTCTAGGCTTCATTGACAAGAAAAACAAAGATAGACGCAAATCCTTGCCTGAATCTGATTTAAGCAGCAAAAGTGAAAGAAAGAACAAAGGACTAATAACACGGTTCCGTAAAGGAGGAGGGAGCCGAACAAAGCAGAGTGGAGCACGAGTTTATCGACAGATTGATGATAACACTATGTCTCTGTTTGGTATGTTACCAACCATTCCTCTTGGACAGTTTGAAGCTGCTGATGAAAAAACCCCAAAAGGTTTGTGTCAATTTTCTTCTCACCTTATAACTTGGGGCATATTTTCAAACTGAGCACATGCACTCGTTACTAATTACAAGCTTGCTAGGTGCAGCATTTGAATATATAACAAAAAACACAACAAATAGGCAGCCTATTTACAAAACCCCTTAGAGATGATTGGGAGGCTTGAGCTGGTTGGTCCCCTTTTTAGCCATGCCCAAGTTTCTTCCATCATCTCTGGAGAATATCTGCTAAAAGAAGGTGAATTTTTCTCAGTATCAATGTTATGGTTACTCAGTTATCTTGCATATTAAAGAAACTATAAAGATTGATAACAATTTAATAGTTATTTGTAGAAAGACCATGACATTTTGACTGCAACCTGCTAGTCTTCATCAGGGAATGGTGTATCATTTATTACTATTTACACAATGAATGATATTGTAAATATGTAAATATGTATAAAATACTGTTCATGATATTGTAAAGAATATTTTCAATTAGTTTTATCTATTTTTTCATTCCAGTTTTTAAATCAACTTATAATTCTAAATTTTGTTTTGTTTTATTTATCTTCTGAAATAACTATAATATGTATAATATATATCATTTCAATCATAATCAATGATACATGACCACACCAGCAGAGCAGTAATATCAATATCATGTCTAAATAAATATTATTATTATTATTATTATTATTGTCAATTCAATTTAACAATTAATGGTAGTAATGGTAATGGTTAAAAGTTCTAGAAAATGACTGATGTCTGTCTGTCTGTAGATATCATTCAAGGTCTGATGGATAAGTACAAAGAAGTAGCAGCCATGAAAGCCTTAGAAGATTTCTGTGAAGACAAAGGTGGTGAAGGAGAGAATGACGAGGAAGAGGACGATGTCTGGGATGAAGCAGCTCGACTGAATGACACCAAGAGAAAGCTAAGACTTGTTCTTTGCCAAGCTGACTTTAGAAACCTCCCTTGGCTGATGTCTAAAGACCGGGTTATCTCTGCCAGGTACTAACTAAATACTAGTCTTTGGAAGTCTAATGAATCATATGCAATGTTATGGATAGATTTATATAGTTTAATTCCCATGTTTGAATCAATAGCACTCCTTTGAAGGGCCAAAGTGAAGAACTAATGACCTTTCTCCATGTGCAACTGGCAGAGGCCATCAATCTACAGGACCGTTCACTTGTAGCTCAGCTACATGAGACTATACGAAGTGTCACATATTTATCCAAAGACAGGTTAGTAAACCGTATTCTTACAGTATAAGGCTACTGCAGTTCTTAGTGTTCTCTGGAGAAACAAAAACAAAGACTTACAAGTCTACCCATGGGTGTGAAGTTGCTGTATTGCTAGGGCTAATGCTCTCGTTTTTTGGTGTCCCTACCTCAGTCCTGTAATAATTTATATATATATTGATTCAATCATATTGTCTGTAATATTGATGCTATAACCTACCTTCTATCTTACAGTTGTACGAATATATTGAGTTTGATGGAGAAGGAGTATCAAGGCCGCATGCCGTACCTTGCATATTTAACTCGTTCACGGCAAACATTGCTGACAACACAGTGTCATTTGGAACGATTAATTGAGAGAGTACAAAAGTAAGACATTAATACACAATATATATGTCTTTCATTAGTTACTTATGTTTGCCTTACCATCTCTCTTTTCACGATTTGTATGTGATGTGGTAATTGATGTTGGTCTGTTACAAGCAGCATGGCCAATACTGTACCATTGTCTCACGTTCACTTTTTAGGAATGCGATGATATGCAAGAAGTGCTTCTCTTCAAACTGCATCACCTTGTTTTTGGAGGAACGAGAGAAGGAGATAAATACATTTATCAAAGACTTTAGAAGCACAGACGTTTGTCCAACAGTTGACGAAAAGGTAGATATTTAATGATTATGATGAGGGTCATGGTCAATTATGATGGTGATGTTGATGACATGAAGATTATGATAATGCTGATGATTTAATTGAGATATCTGGTGTAAGAATATTGTTGATAATGAATCAATCATTCTAATGTGTCAAGTGCTTTCTTGTTTCTCTTTTAGTCCAAATTTCTGGATGAGTTTTTGGACAAACTGTATACAGATCTTGAAAGAGACGAAGCTTGGTTGGGTAAGAAATTCATCTCTTTCAAACAAAGAAGAATTCTACTTTTCTCATTTCTTTCTACAACAACATTTGTTTTTATTTAGGAGCTTCAGACGATCAGATAGAGAAAGGCTGTACTGCGATAGAGCGTGACATAATGGCGCGTGTTTATAATGACGCATTTTATCCCCATGGAGGAATAGACATGGAGCGAGACAAGTAAGTGTTATGTGAGTGTAAGAGATGATGTAAATATTATGTTTTGAATATTTATTCTTTCTCTTCATTATTAACAGAGCATTTACAAAACACGTTGAACAACTACAAGGAGTGGTTGGTGTTAACCATAAAGCAATTCGAATCCCTAAGGTACGAAACTCTTTGCTATTTTCCTATTAGTGGGCTACCTGTGTCCACAAATGGCCGAGAGGAGTCTAGCAGAAAGAAGGAAAGATATGAACTAACATGAAGTGTTTTTTTCTTTTCCAGATGTACCGTAAAGAGGCACCATGGCCTTCAGCACAGCAAGAACTCAAGAATATTAATGCTTACAAGGTATTTAAAACGTATTGGGTAGAGTTAAGCAACAATAAGAATATTAATGCCAACAAGGTATTTAAAACGTATCAACAACTACCTTTCATAGCTATTTTTCTATGCCGTCGATTTTTTTGTAATAGGAATAATTGTCTTTATCAACAGACGCCCAAAGACAAACTGAAATGTGTCCAGCGGTGTTGCTTCACAATCATGAACCTACTGAACATGGCAAGCGCGTCCAATTCATGTGATCCCGCAGGCGCTGATGAGTTTGTCCCAGCATTAGTATGCGTCCTCATCCAAGCTAATCCACCCAGCCTTCTTTCAACCATGCAATATGTCAGCAATTTTTATGAGCAGCGGTTATTGGGAGAGGAAGCCTGGAGCTGGATGCAGCTCTGTGCTGCTATTGAGTATACTAAGACTATACAAGTATAAAAGGTTCTGGGTATTAGATATAGTGTAAATATGGGAAGTCCTGGGTACCAGATTCAGTATGAGTATGAGGGGTCCTGGGTTCTAGATATAGTGTAATTATGGGAAGTCCTGGGTACCAGATTCAGTATGAGTATGAGGGGTCCTGGGTTCTAGATGGAGTGTAAGTATGAGGGGTACTTGGTTCTAGATGGAATGTAAGTATGAGGGGTCCTGGGTTCTAGATGGAGTGTAAGTATGAGGGGTACTGGGTTCTAGATGGAGTGTAAGTATGAGGGGTACTGTACTGAATCAAAAGAAATACTTTATTAAGAAAAAAATTAAGATTTTTTATCTCCAGCACTAGGGTTTTTGTCAGGTCAATCTTTCATGTTTGCTAAGTATTTTTGAGGAAATGCCCTCAAAGCTTTTAATCTGCAATACTATCTGCATTTCATTCTCTATTCGTGTAGAATTCTTTATTAACTTTAATATTAAAAGATAATCTAAGAACTAAAATATAATTATTTCAAATTAGAGAGTCTGGTGTTTGAGGGAAAAGAAAGTCAAACTATAGAAAAGGAGTTAGCTGGGGAGTCTGAAATAGTAAATAAATAAGCAAGAATAAGATCCCTACATCTAGTGTTTACCAGACAAGACCATATAGGTTTAAATATATCAATATAGAAATTATTAAAAAGTATTGCGCGGTAATTTAAAAAAAATAAAAATGTTATTTTAGTCATAAGATAACTGTTGTAAATATCACGTTCTGATTGGTTGGGAGCAAGTGCTTTGTGAGAGCACTCTGCACGTCTGCGCACTTTCTGTTGTCGGTGTCTCGTGTCAAAATTATCCATTACAGATGACATTCTCTTGGAAATCGTTCTCTTATGATAAACATTTTAAAATATTTACATATGAAAGAATAAACTTCGAACAGTGGCATCACATGGTCTGAAATGTGCACAACACTGTGGCGGATTTAGGGGGGGTTCATTGGATGTAAATGAAACCCCCCCACCGGCTGGTACCTTGGATTTTTTATATTTTTTTAAATAAATAAATAAACAAATAAATAAAAGAATGGTACTAACTCATGAGATTTAATATGAAATGGGACTGGTGGATAGGTTATTCTTATCAGGAGCGCCCCTAGGCTAGTGATATGCCTCATGGGGAAAATGATGATGCAAGAGAACGTTATTGTTGTGCCGAGATTTGCAAAAATGAACCCCCCCCCCCCCTCTTAAAGTCCTGGATCCGCCACTGCAACAAACAACGGTCTATCGCCAGGTTACTGGGGTATCTTACCCCTCGTACCAGTACTTCTCTTCTCTTGCCGTCCATCTGGGCTGTTTCGATTCTTCTTTCTCCGTTTAGTGCATATGTAATTCAGGGCCCGGTTGTATTAAGGGTAGACAGCACTATCCCACGGATAAATCTCATCAAACATTACCCTTTTTTGCTGTCAACGATAATCCCTTGCGGTCTTTCATAGAACGGTACCATTGATGCGTTTGATTGCTGCCGTCTAGTTTACAAACCACGGTTATCCTAAGTTCTGAATTGATTGTATCAATGAAATATATGTTGTAACCAATAACATCAAGAGCATGCGCTTTTGGCCAGAAATAACTGTCCTTGATGACTGTTTGTAAGGAACTGCCATGTAGAAAAGCGCGCGCAACCTCCCCATCAGGGTTGGTCCAGTAGACTTTGTGATCCAGTAACTTGGGACGACTAGAGACTTGAGATAGATCTCCCGCCATCCAGCCTTGATAAAAAAAGTCATTTCAGTCATGTCAGTCCAGTAAATGTGCTGGCGAAGAATGGTCATTTTGAATGGTTAGGACGAACGTCAGTCAGTCAGGAAATGTTGACGGTGTTCACCTGGGTTTTCGAGACTGACGAAAAACACATCTTGTGGATCTCTCTAGTGTCCAGAAAGTGTTCTTGTAGAGGTGTCCAGGCACAGCCCAGTGGGTGTGTCATGCTTTATTTCAGTCACGATGACCCGTCTGTCAGAACCATCTATGGAAGATCTCTCGATCGTTGCTGCCGAACCAGAACTAGAAGACCAGTACATCTATCTGGGAAAAGATTAAAACATTTAGAGGATTGCAAACAGTTCCAAGAGCACTGGGTACGACATTGGTTAAATTCGTGTCATTACTCTGCCCAGTCTCTTTCCGAAATGGTCTTCCTTGATTCAACATGGTCGTTGGCCGAACAGCTGATGCCCTTCAGAAGAAACGGAATATAACGCTTTATTTCAAGAGGAAAATTTTGGAAGCTCAATTTATCATTGCACAATAAGGTAAGCCGTATTTGAGTAAACTTAGAGAACAGTTTGTATTGTTGTTCAGCTAAGAATTTATCAAATTGTCCAGGCAGCTTCACTATACATGTGAGCTTATCTCGAACTTTTAAAACACTAAATTCACACTTCGTACTGAGGTTCTGTTCAAAACTCAGTGGATAGCTTATTAAAGTAAAATATATCCTTGTATTTTATTCGTTTTGGGGCGGTGGAATTTCTTAGACTTTTGTGAGAGGACAATGTTACAGCTTTTCAAAGTGTTGTTTGGAACATTCAGGAAGCAACAGCTGTAAAATTCATTCACCGAATAAACTTTAAGTAATATTAAAATATTCATTATAGCCGTTCATCCGCTTGACATTTAAATATCTTACAGTATTAGACATTTTAGGTTGCACTACGGGTGGATATTTTTCGAAAAACGTCCACCGTTACTGCGTGACTAATATTTCCAAACGTGACGCATTACGTTACGCGCGACGTTAAAAAAATGTGGAGTGCAAATATCGCAGTGATATTTTACTAGTATTTTGCTTTCTACTGCGATATTTATACTTTACTTAGTGTAGTTGGATAATAAGAATGATGATCTTCTTACACAAGTTTAGATGCTTAATTAGGGTCTGGTGAGGAGGTAGGCACGACTTATATATGAGTAAAGTATAGTAAAGTAAGTATAGTGTAGTATGGTATAGTGTTCTTATATCAATAGGTCGTGTTTTCCTAACAAATATCTTCCTGGTTGTCCCATCCAGTTTAGCAACTTCTATCCTCCCTTTCTTGTTGTCAGCTCAGTAAAGGCTTTATTTCACTTAGGAACCTCGTCCAAAGGATTTCTGTCGCGACTTCCTCTTGACCAAACGCCCTAGCATGTGAGTAACGAGTGGTAAATAACCCTGAACCCCATGGTCAAACTGCACTCAAAATACATCACAATCCTATGGCTCCTGATGGAGTCCCTGTGTGTGTAATGATCAGAGATGGCCTGGTTTATAACTATGACGTAATACCAATTTTCGAAGACTATAGGCCATTACAGGCAAGGAAGTAACTGGGCCTCCAAGAAACACTAGTCTCTTGGTCTGTCATCGAGGACTAACTCTCTAAACCAGTAAGTAATACAAACTATGTAAGCAGTCTTCAGTTATGATTTATTCATTCTTGCTCCGAAGACTAGGATTCACCATGGCAACAGTAACACTTACACAAAACAACCAAAGATTGAACGTAGGCCAAATACACGACAGTAATTTTTGATAGATTGTATTTTAGTTATCTTGGTCAGCATATCCACAGCATATATCAGTGGGGTTAGTTTTAATAGAAATGTTTTGAATATTTTTAGGTTTGATATGTACAGACTATGTTTGTATAGAATTTCATGTCACGAGTAGCTGTCAAATCTTTGCCATCGAGAATCTGCTGAAGAAGTTGAAAACGTCTCCAGCTTTTGAATAGGATATTTTATACCTTTAACAAGCATTTGTTGGTTGAAACGAAAAAGATTTTTGCGAGATTTAAAGCGATATTCAGTTCCGTGTTGGTTTTCTTATGACGCAGATAACGTTCTTTAATTTATTAGCAGTGTTTATTAAATTCAGTTATTCTCTCACAGTAAGCCAATTGTGACAAGAGCTGGTGAAAAGAATTTATTTATTCGCTGTATATAAAAGTATCAGAATTCCCTCTGCTGCTAAATGTTTTTCAAAAAGATTTCCACGTTGATAGAAAAGTTTTTCATCTGCAAGCTGAGTAACTTTCGATAGATGTCGAAGCAGATCGGATACAAATTATTGCCCTTTAATCCACAGACAAACATTTTACTTAATTACCAGTTTGGTAGAAACTCTGTCGGCGGATGGCCTGCATTTCGGTTATCGTAATGACGAAAATGTTGCTAATTTTTCTTTTCAAGGCATATAGATGATGACCGGGTTTCTGTATTGTGCCAGTCATCCTACATAAGATGTATATGATGCTCGTAACATTACTTATCTTCACTGTGTTTCGTCTGGTCGTAACGACACACGGCCAAGGTACGTACCATCATGAAACTAGCTACGCAAGTGTAAGTGCTTCGATACCAACATGTTTTGACATTCTGCAACTTATTAGAATTCGTTTTTATTCGAAAAATTTGCAAAAGTTCCACTCATTTCCAAACAAACTAGATAATGTATCAAATTGAGCTGATTATCGCAGTATATGAAGCAACTTATGCAGCTGCAAATTGAAAGACTCAGGAAAAATTTGAACGGAATTTGAACCCGTGCCCCGGCGATTCCGGTGCCATGCTACCAAGTCTATTATGAGACTTACAAGGACACATAAGGTGGATAATATAACTGTTATTTTTATTCTAGGGTCGTCTGGATTCTTGCTCTTTACTGACAGCAGTCAGGGTTTTATTTACAAGGCCAACAGGCAAGGCTACGGGTTACTCTCCTCTCCCAAGATCATCATTCACTCATCCTTCACTCCACAAGCCGTCTCGTACGACGCAACAGAACAACGCGTCTATTGGTCTGACGCATTCACTAGTACCATATCTAGGGCCTTCCTGAACGGCAGCTCAGAAGAGACGATTGTTCGTTATGTTAAAGCAGTGGCCATTGCTGTTGATCCAGCTGGTAGGAATCTGTACTGGGCTGACAACAAGAAAGGGAGGATAGAAGTTGCTAGGTTGGATGGGTCACACAGAAAGATACTTGTTAGGACAAAACGACCTACTGATATGGCCTTGGATTTGACTCGAAGGTAAGAATCCAATAAATATGTAGTTACATTGAGAAGGTATTTTTACACTTCTTTTATTTGTTTCACAGACAGATGTACTGGTCTTCTGATAGTTTTTCTGCAGCAATCATCGAGAGATCGTCCATGGATGGTTCTGACAGACAGGTCATTGTATCTGGACTTATTTATGGCGCACCATCTGGACTGTGTCTGGACAGTGGTAAAAGAGTGCTTTACTGGACAGAAAAGAACGCACCGCAGATTTTCTACGTCAGTCTCGATAACCCAAGTGGACACCATTTGTACTATTTCCAGGCACGCCGGTCCAAGCCATTCAAACTGACCATTCTTGACCAGCGCATTTACTGGACAGATCGCGGAAGTTACTATTACCACGGCAAAGTCGCTAGTTTAAACATAACATCGAAAAAGGATCTTAAGATACTGGCAAACAATGTGGACAAGCCGAAGGGAATTTACGCGTTCGCTGGTGATGGTAGTCTCATTCCTGGTACGTTCACTAACCACGTTTACTGGCAATTATACAATTATCTCGATCTGATAGTTTTAGCGGCATTTCTTACTCAATAATTGACTGTTGTACATTTTCTTTAGAGTCCAACTGCAGCAGGAACAATGGCGGCTGCAGTCATCTTTGTTTGCTCAGTCCACGACAAGACCGAGTGTGCGCATGCTCCAATGGAATGGCACTAAAGGATGACGGGAAGACATGTAGGTATATTGCTCTTGACAGAAACCACAAAAGCTTCTTTGGGTAGACAGTAGTCGCAGTAACGCTTTAACGGGAATCATAGTAGTGTACAGAGAAAGAAAAAATATTGAGAAACTGAACCACTATTAAAGTATATAAAAGCTTTATCAGTAAACTGTTTCCAGACTGCATCAGCGAACCACAATGCTCTAGTCTTATCAATCACTTCCTACTACATCCTGCAATCTATTATTATTATAATACTATATAATACTATTATTAGTGCTCATCTAAACCAACATCATCTTCAACCTTATTCTTTTTCAAGGCCACTATAAAGAATTTCTCCTTGTTGTTGATGATGTACGAAGGAAGATCTTCCACAAGTCTCTTGACGACCTCAGCCGTCCCAAGACTCCATTAGCCCTTGGCCAAACAGGACGCATTATGACCGTGGACTTTGACCCCCAAGAACACAAAATTTACTGGACCAACAAGAGAGGAGTGATTTCCCGCGCTTTTCTTAACGGTAGTTCCATAGAAGCAGTTGTCAATAGTCTTAACTACTTTCCACGTGGGCATGAGATTGATGTCATTGGTCGGAATATTTACTGGTTTGATTCCAAGTATCGAGAAATCGGAGTGTGTAAACTGGATGGCAGCTGGCAGAAGATATTGATGACATTGAATGAACAGCCTGAAGCCATGGTTCTTGACAGCAGCAAAGGGTACTAAATGCATATTTATCTTGACCATTAACTGTACCATCGGAGCTACCATGAATACTAAATGCATATTTATCTTAAGAGAAAAGGGTCACGTGACTGACCAGTAAGATGTCGACATTTGAAGAGAAAATTCTTTACGCTGTTCAATTGATCTTAACTATCATTAATTAATTATTATCAATATAGTATATTACTATTGTTAAAAATGTATAAAATGTATTTCTTTTTTAGAGTGATATATTGGGTTACGACTGGGAACACCGCGATAATCGAAAGAGCCCATATGAACGGAGAGAACAGAGAAGTACTTGTACGCTTCCCCAGGCGATATCATTATGAGTACTCACCCAGGGCGCTTGCCTTGGATTCAGACAACAATAGATTATACTGGGTTGATGATAATAGAGGTGAACTATGTTACACAGAAACTAACCCAAAGACTGGACAGATTCATCATGTTGGTATATCCTCCTGGTATACAATCTCACCTTACTCCCTGGCTCTGAAGGAAGGCTACATCTACTGGGGAGATGGGAGCAATGCTGCTGTTTATCGAGTTAACAAGACATCTACAAGAAAAGTGATAAAGATTGTAAGCAGTGTAGATGCCGTAGACTTACATGTCTATCATAATAACACTCAAGTACTTGGTAAGACTGATCGTGTTGTATGCGTTGTTGGGCTTTATTTGATGTCACTGTTTGATGTTTCATTTCTGTTTTATTTTTTTAATTTTCGCATCAAAGTCTCCCTCCTATTTTACCATTCGTGACAATAACTATATTTCCTCGGCAGACAATAACCATCCTTGTGCTCATTTCAATGGTTGGTGCACTCACCTCTGTCTGCTTAAACCTGGAGGATACTCGTGTGTCTGTCCTGGAAACAAAGGATCCCGTCCATGTTACACGACACCAGTCGTCCCCACTCCATCTTCTCATTACTTGAGTGCCATGTCTTCGACGTCTGTTTACATTCCTCATATTGAAACCGCTTCAAGTGTTCTTCCCCAAACAAAGACTACGAGATTTCTACTTGACCATTCAACGCTGCTTCCAACGTCTTCACAACATTATACAACTACTTTTGCAAGATCTTCACCCCTACGATTACAACCAGAATCAACACTCGAGACATCAATGTTTGTGACTACCACCCCCTCGAGATTGTATTCGACGACCTCTCTTCCATCATTGGTATCATCACTGTCACCAACACCATCATCACCATTGTTGTCATCATCATCATCACCACCATCATCACCATTGTTATCATCATCGTCACCACCATCATCATCATCATCACAATCACCATTTTTATCATCATCTTCACCATTCTTATCATCTTCATCACCACCATCATCATATTCATCTTCGTCATCAGCTATAAGAATACCAACTTTGTCTTCAGTTATTCCTAATTCACCACCAACAAGCATCAAGTGGACTCCAACATCAACATCAGTTCCACAGGAATCCTCAAGTTCTGTTCAAGTTTCAACGTTGTATACATCTATCACTACATCTTCAGAGCCGACTTCAAGTGTTGCTCATGTTATTTCGTCCCCTGCAAAAGTTTTACCTTCAACTCATCAAGTCCCGTTTACCTCATCAAGATTATTGCTTTCCTCCAAACGTTATTCTCCGGTCATAACAGCTGCAGGATCTGTCATGACATCAGTCTTTCCTCATCTACCTGTTCTAACGTCATCCTACACGTTCTCTTCTATCTTCATGTCAACCACCACTTCATCTTCCACGAACTATGGTTTCACCTCCTCACCATCACCCACATTGATCAGCCCTTCTCTCATATCTTGTACGTCATCCACCGTGTTACCAAGCAACAATTACCTCCCTTCCCATGCCTTGTCTACTATAAAAACCATCAGCACTAGCCCTTCATTGTCCTCATCTACTGTATACATCACTAGCACTACTCTCCCTTCTTCTGCTTCAATACCGGTCGATAAATGTCACCCAGATTGTCAGGTTGGGGAGATATGCGTAGAGCCGTGGTATCGATGCATTAACATAGGTAAGCTTGAATATAGACTCGTCACCTTGATGATTTATAATTTTAAAAGGCTTCCCATAACGAGTGAAAGGAGATTTGTAGAATAATATTCTTAAAATATTATAGTGATTAATAGTGATTATTAAGTTATTGATATCTTTGATCAATTGACAGGTGAAAACAAAGTGAGCTTGTTATTCAAAATGAATGAAATCCAGGTAATAAAAAATCTGTATAAAACTGTCGCTTTTCGTCACAATATCGTGACTTCGAACGCCATAAGTGGTCATTATCATCATGCTTTTATTATTTGATTCAGTGGTCTAACGACACACTCAAGAACAGTGTATCTAAAGCTTCCACTCAATACTGTACGAACCAATCATGTTTGGAATTGTTACGGTACGTAAGACCTTCTTTTCGATAATAATCCTTATCGTTGTTAAACATAGACACTCTGGTCTGGCATGTGCTGCTGGATGATATCCTTCATTCTGACCCACCCAACTGATCCACGGATCCTGGCAATCAATCGATAAGTTGCGGCTAACATTAGATTAATAATAATATAATTCTGTTATACCCAGACCTGCAGAACCGATACGAAGCAAAAGAGCGACGAAACCAAACATAGTTTTCCAAGGTTCTGATGTCTTAGTGCTTAACAACCCTGTTTCATGGTCGGCCACGGATGAAGCACTTGTAGTGATAGCAGTACTCGTACCATCCAACTACGAATCACTAACAACAACAGGAACAAGGCGAGTGGTTACCAAACAGAACTTGTGCAAGTTAATCTGGGAGTCCAGACACCTCATCAATAGATACATGAAGGGGGCAAGTATGATTAGACTTGATGGACAAACACAACCATCTTGTGTGGTACTGGGTGGAGATGCCCTTCATGAACAACGTCAAGGCAACAGCAAGGGAAGTGCAACTACCATATCTGTATCTATTCTGGGTGTTCTTGCATTGTTTTTGCTTCTTTTTCTTGCGATGTTTTACATCAGGTAATTACCATTTTTCATTTCCTTTGTATAATATTTACCATTAAAAATCTTTCATTCACTTGTCTGTTCATTCATTTCTTTCTTTCTTAGAAGACGAAAAGCCAAGCAGAACGTTCCACGTCCTTATCATACACAGATTTCCTTCAGCAATCAGGGATTCGTTGATGGATTCGTTGATAACGACTATGAAGCTGCAGAAGCGAGCTTATCTAACCCTGCCTACGCCGAGATCGATCAAGTGATGAATAACAAAAGACAAAGTGGTGAAGCTAAAAAGTTCCTGAAAACTCCTTTTGTAGAACCAGTCAAAAACACAAATGTCCACCGCGATAATAGAGTCTTTCAAAACACCAAGGAATTCTGGAATCCAGGCCACAACTCGAGGCCAAGACCGAGAAGAACTGGGAACGAGGTTATCATAAATCCTTCAAACCTTGACGCATGTGCAGATGTCAATTTTAGACCAGAATCATCAGAGTACAGCACACCAATACCTGTGATTCCAAAATACATGCCTCTTTCCAGTAACCAAGCAACGAAGTCACGTGATAGAGATTACGCACACTTGAATCCTGGCACCCGGAAGCTATCGACACGTGATCAACCACATAAGAGAGGTCTTGAGGGATCTGGTTCCCATGACTACGAAAGTGTCGTTGGTCCTGGAATTAAAAACTATGTGAGGAGAGCAGAGGCCGAAACAACTAGTGGATCTGTAGTGAGAGATGATTATGATCACTTGAGGCAAGGCGGTAAGACGACCAGCCCTAACAAAATAGATGATCACAATATTTATGATCACTTGCAGCGAGGCGGGAAGACGACCAGCCCTAATAGAATAGATGATCACAATATATATGATCACTTGAGGCAGAATCAGGGCAATACCTACGATCATCTTCAGAGAGGATTGACAATACCACAGCAGAACAGACAGCATACGTTACAACTCAAGAAAGATGATGATGACGTAGTAGAGGAAACTGTCATATAAACTGTACTACTCGTTTTCCTATCACTCAGTCATAATGTGCAGTTAATGATGAAAAGGTAAATCATACACCGTGAAAAGATGGAAAAACTTACTGACGTTTCGGACGCTAGTCCAGTTC